AAGGAAAATTAAAAAAGCCCCCAATTTTTTTTCTTCTCATCTCCAGCTTTGTTAAAGCCAGTTATTTTACATGGATTAGTTTTTTTGTGTGTGAGCTAGAATGTTTGATTAGATATAGTAGGCTCATACCTCAACATAATAAAAGATATATAGATATATAGATATAGATATAGGTATTCATTCAACCTCAAACTGAATGGAGAGAAACTGAAAGCATTTCCTTTACGATCAGCAACAAAACAAGGGTGTCCACTCTCACCATTCTTATTCAATGTATACAGAACTAGAAAAAACAATCCTAAAATTTATATAGAAGCACAAAAGACCCCAAGTAGCCAAAGTAATCTTGAGCAAAAAGAGCAAAGCTGGAAGCATGACAATACTTGATTTCATTTTTTTTGTTACTGTAGCACCGTAGTAACAAAAACAGTATGGAATTGACACAATAACAGACATGTTGACCAATGAAACAGAAGTTCCAGAAACCAATCCACACATCTTCAGCCAAATGATTTCATCAAAGGTGCCCAAAATATACATTGGAGAAAATAATCTCTTCAACAATGGTGCTTGGAAAACTGGATATCCATGTGTAGATGGTTCACATTTGACCCCTCCCTATCTCTCAGCCAAGATGAACATCAACTCAAAATGAATCAAAAACTTTAATGCAAGATCTGAAACTATTAGAGGAAAACTTATAGGAAACACTTCAAGATATTGGTACAGGTAATGATTTCTGGATAGGAAATTTTATAACACTTTGACAGTTTTTCCCCCAACTATATGCCAACTATATGCCTCAACTATCCCCAAATGCCAATTAAAGGGATGAGCAGTAGTAAAGCCAAGAAAGGACTTTAAATCAATGTAGCTACACCGGGAAGAACAGACATAGGGATACAGTGACCTCAGTGCAAAAGATAAATCAAAATCTAAGAGCCTAGAGCCAGGTGTGGTGGTGCCTGCCTGTAATAAGCAGCGGATCAGGAAGCTGAGGCAGGAGGATTGCAAGTTTAAAGCCAGACTCAGTGACTTAGTGAGACCCTATCTCTAAAATGGTTGGGGATGTAGTCCATGGTTAAGTGCCCCTGGGTTCAGCCCCAGTACAAAACAACAAACAAACAAACAAAAAAAGCTTATATCCCTGGATGAGAAAGTACTTGTTAAAAAACTACATTTCCCAGAATGCTGTGCCTGATGGTTTTTGCCTCAAGTTGGCTAAGTGGTAACTTGCAAGAGACTGGAGAGGCAGAAGGGAGGCAGGAGGTCTACCTGAGGTCAGATATGAAGACACAAACATAGAGAAATGTATAGAACTTTCTAGCTTTCCTCATTCTTCCTGTTCTGCATCCAGATATTTTCCTTGCCTGCTGACCAAAAGCAGTGTCCAACCACACGGAGCTCTCCTGCACACTAGAGAAACAAAGGTTTCCTAGACCTCCCCTGACCTTCTACCTCACAGTGTCCTGTGAGCAACTGGATGTGCCTGTTTCCTCTGGAAGCTCCAACAGACCACCCAATAGGGCTTGTAGTGCTGCCCAGTGCCCTTTCCTCTGGTCCTTAAATGCCTTTTTTCAGGCCCTCTCCTCTCTAGTTGCTGGTAGAATTATATCAAATCTAATCCCTGTGATGAATCCTTTATCTCATAGAGGCTGTGCATTCCTGATGAAAGCCCTCATGGTACATGTGAGATTCAGCAGGTAGAGGTCCTCCCCGCCAGGTAAGGGATACTCTGGAATGATACTGGGCAGCAGGAATGAGAATAACTAATGCCTATGAAAGAGGGGCACCAGGGATCAAAAAAAAAATACAAATTCATCATTAACCCAAGTTTTTTAAAAGTTTGGCAATGAATTAGCAGGAATAAGGCAATCACTAGTCAGGAAGAACAAGGAGGAAATTCCTGAAAGTGTTACTAAGTCCTTGGGCAAAAGCCTTGTTCCGGCACCAATAGACCAGTTTTGGTCACCCATCCCATCTCAACATGCCAAGTAAAGGAATGAGCAGTAGTAAAGCCAAGAAAGGACTTTAAATCAATGTGGCTATACCAGGAAGAACAGACATAGAGATATAGTGACCTCAGTTTTGTCTTCAGGGGACTGATAGAAATTTTAAGGTTTTATAGTAGAGGGTAAACAAAGGTAGGGTTGGGGGTTTGTATGGCTGGGAGGTTGTATAGCTGGTAGAGTAAGTCATTCTAGTCAGATCATGGTCTGGTGGATTGATATCTCCAGGAGAAATTCTTATCAGTTGAGGGGCAATCTGATTCCATGAGATGATTGTTTCTGCTAGTGGGTGAGCCTCAGCTTCTGTGATGCTCCACTCTCATTATGGGGTGATCTGTCTGTGAGAATCTGCTCATCTTGAAATCCAAAGTGACTGCTATGACTGCAGGTTTTAGGGCAATGACTGAAAACTTTCAAGCATCACTCCAAGGGTTGAGCAACTAAATGTTCCATCAAATCTTGAAAATATCTTAGATGGCATTCTCACTTTTGAAGGAATATTTGTATTATCCCTTAAGTGTTTAACATGCCTATATGTGAAATTAGCAAGAGTCTGACCTAAAGGGTTTTTTTTTTTTAACATTGAGATAGGGTCTCACTAAATTGCTGAAGCTGAACTCAAATTTGCAATCCTCCTGCCTCAGCAGACCTAGTAGCTGGAATTACAGATGGGTGCCCCCATGTTTGGCTTGACCCAAAGATTAAGATAATAAAGTAGATCAATACAAAATGAAGGTAGAGATGCTAAGATTTATCCTGCTTTCAGTTATACATCAGGGATCTGCAGGACTAAGTAAAGAGTTACTGATATTTTTTTTTAAAAAAGCAGTTTCCAATTCTTTGTTATAAAAGGAAATGTACCTATGATATACTATTGCTGAGACATGAACAGTATATACAATCAAGATGAGGTAAACAATGGTTATTTACCTTGTCTTAAAAAAGTGGCGCTGTAATCATAATGAGAGAAGGAGTGCAGGAGGGTAGGAGAAGGTAAGTCTACATCTTCATGGAAAGAAATCAATAAAGAATATCTGAAAGTGGAAAATAACAATGTTCAATAAGCATGTTATTGAGATAAATCATAGAAAAATTATATAAAAGAGTTAAAAAGTTGTCTCAATGATGGAAAATCTATTGGGAGGGAATAAGGCAGGAGATGGCTCTTTTTATTTATTTGTAGTTTTGTGAAATAAAAAATTTAAAACTGTGTGTGTGAAGTTCTTTCATAGCAACTTTAAAATTAAGTATTAAAAGACTTCAGTGTAAAGAGGTGTGTAGAATGAAAGGCAAACAGAAAAAGGCTAAAAGATGATGGTCTGAAAAAGGTATTAGCAAAACTATTATCTAACAGAGGCTAATTGAAGGTAGTCATTCAAGAGAAATGTGGGGGATTAATAGAAAATCAGACCAAGAATAGAATGGATGAGTTGGCACAAAGAGACTCCAACAGTAAAGAGCTAGAAGACACAGAGTAGATCCTGGGACCGGGTACCTTCCAGTCCCGTCACCCACATAGGTCTACCCAGAGCTGCAGCAGGAAGGCCTGATGGTACTGTCACGCTTCACCCACTAGGAGACAGACAAAAAGAGACTGGAGGGCTTGCCCATGTGCATTCAGGTGGCTGGCACTGCCACTGGGTGGAGCAAACTGTCAGGACTTAGTTGCCCGCAGTAGCCACCTGTGCTATGGTTCAGTAGTGCTATCCAGGGCGTGTGTGCTGAAGAACACCTCCCATAGCTGCTTGGAGATGGTGGAAAGCCACTGGTTCTGACATAGATATTGTAAAGAATCACTGGAGGTGACCTGAATCTTAACTCATCAATTAAGAAGATAGGAAATATTCTTGAAATGTGTTTTTATGGAGTCATCACCTGTTTTGTTAAATTGTATACATTTCAACAGTTTCCTAATGAAAAGGGATTTTATGAGGCTGTATGGGAACTAAAGGGAACCTGAGTGTGCCCCCAGCATGGCCCTCAGTTGCACTCTCATGGCCACAACATCGTGAAGACAAAAATCATGATCCGACCTCATTTCAAATCTCATGAGACACAACGGGTTATCCAATAGGGGCAGAAACCACCAGCTCTCCTTCCACGTGGGAAGAAGATAGGCAGTGTCTTGACATGAGGGGGCCACAGCATGGCTGGGAATCGTAGTCAGAAGTGGCAGTGGGGACAACCAGAGACAGCTGGTTTGCTGCAACCTGGAGAATTTACTGATACTTTAAAACAGGACGAATACCAGAGGAGCCCACAGTGCACAGGGGATCCTTTCCATGCACAGTAGCTTCATCTTGGGAAACTCCTCTGTCTCAATTAGTTTCAGACACAGGCTGGAAGGTCTTGTGTTAAGGAGCATAGGTTGGAAAGTTAAGCCACCAAAGAGCCACAAAAGAAATGGAAAGAGATGACAGTAGCAGGAGGGATGTAGTAGAGATTGGCTGAGAGAATGCTTCCCCCCTCCCCACCTGCTTGCCCTCCATACTCACTTAAAAGAAGGAATTTCCCCACGCCTATAATACCAGCAACTTGGGAGGCTGAGGCAGGATCACAAGTTTGAGGCCAGACTCAGTATCTTAGCAAGACACTAGGCAACTTAGTAAGACCCTGTCTCAAAATTTAAAATAAATAAAAAAGCTGGGAATGAGGCTCCCCTGGGTTCTATTCCCAGTACAAAAATAAATAAATAAATAACAAGACATCCCCCCTACCAAGAAAGGGCACCATGGCAGAATTGTAGAGGACATAGGGAACCAGCCTGAGTCAGTGTAATGGTGAGGCCCATGTGTCTTCCCGTGACAACATGAGACCGAGATAAGAGGGGACTAGACCAGAGGTCCTCCCTGGGTCAGGAAAGGCTCACAGGCCCTGAGGACTCTGGTCCATAATTGACAGGAGGAAAAAAGGTAGATATATGTTTCTCATCCAATGCCAGTGGGTCTGGAGAAGAAACCTGTCTCTGGGTCATAGTAGTCCTTGTGACATCATGACCCTCTCCTATTTTGACACCTGTCCTGCCCCTGCTGGGGTTAGAGGAGCAGCAACTAGAAGGGGATGATCACCTAAGCCTCTGATTTTCCACCATGGGCAGTAAGAGCAGCGTAAGACTCCATCACACACTCACTTTTGCCAGGGTGGAAAAATGTCCCATGTCAGAGGGAAGCCTTTCAAGAGTCCATGGGACTCAGACAAAGCACGAGGGGATGGGGCTGTGGGAACTTTGCACAGAGGTTGTCCTCACCCAGACCCCCATTCTGATTGCAGAAACCTGAGTCGGAGAACACTTCAGAGAACAGCGAAACAGAAAGTCAGACCAAAGCAAAAGGAAAGGTAAGTGAGACAATCAGAAAACCATTGACTCTCTGATCCAAGGATCCCTAGAATGGAAGAGCCATCTCTGCCCCCACAGGGTTGGCTCACCATTGCTCTCCTGTCCCCTAAGTCCCCTCACTATCCTGGGAGAACTGTGCAGGTGGCACAGTGCGATGAGAAGTGGTAAGGTAGGTGAAGGACAGGGAGTAGATGGAGAGGCAGGAGCGGACATCTACAGAAGTGAGGTAAGGGAAGACCCCCGAGGGCTGTGGCACCACAGGAGGCTGTAGGAGGCAGCAGGACAGGCTGAGTTAGAACTGAGATGCAGCCTATAAATGCAGAGGTTCTTCCTTGTGAGGATCCCTTGGGTCTTCATGTCTGCAGAGGGACTTCTGGATCAGAAAATATTTGCCCTGGCTCCATGAACCTGTGAGTCCACAGGGCAAGTATAGTATCATTTCTTAGGCAAAGACACTACAACTGAGAAGGTGAGCATATGTGTCCATAGCTACAGACAAGACAGAAGTGGGGGCAAAACCCCACCCAGCTCTCCTGGGTTCTCAGAACTGTCAGGAAAAGAACTGCATGTTAGCAGAACTGCCCGTGTTTGATGGTGACAAATTCCTGGACACCCTTTGCTTTGCTTGGTTAGTTATTTCTTGCAGAACATGATGGGAAAATGGTCCAGGCTTCCCCCTTCCCTTCTCCTCCTCAGTACCAGCCTCCCAAGGTGCTGAATTCGAGGCTCTCTGTTGTCCCCTCCCCCATGCATGGCACCCTTCTTAATGACTTCAATCCTGACTGGATGATGTTCCCAAACCACTTGCCTCTCAATTCCAGTGCCTTTTACTTTCTCCTACTCACACCCACCTCTGGGATCACACCTTAGACCACTGCTTCCTGAGTGACTTTTTAAAAAAATTATAATACACCACAAATCATTTCCTTTACAAAACAATTAAAAAAAAGTTTTGAGAAATATTTACATGGAAAACCCATACAGAAAATGAACTTTGTTTTTAATCATGAGATGGAACAACAATAATAACTACTATTTTAATTTGCTGTAAAAGTTTCTACATGCTTCTTCTCAGTCTCACAGACACAGAGCTAGAGAGACTGTCGACTAGGAAACAGCAATGGGTAAAGACAAAGGCACTTCCCATACCTCATTACAAGGCCTTTCCTGCCAATCACCAGGCAAAGGCAGAAGAACGTGACAAATCCTTTCCAATATGGCTGTTCTAGTCTAGCCAAACACCACAGGAAAAGCTGATCACAGTTTTTATTTTTAAAATTTCTGCTTGAATAAATTGAGATTTAATTTTTTTTTTAATCACTGGGCCATGATCCAAAGTAAGAAAGAAATCCTGACCTGCAAGCCTGGCATTTGGGGTTGCATCATCCAACAGATGCTTCCTGCACCTTCTCTGTCCTAGGTGTCCCTCCCAACACTTCCCCGTCCTCCACCTTAACGACCATCATCCCACTAACAACACGATGACACTCCCAAGCCTGAATGGCCTCTGCCATTCCCCACACTCCCCCTACAGCCCCACACCAGCCTTGCACATTCTCACCTGCACATTCCATATGCGCTCCTCAGTGACCCCTGGGGCAGTTGCTCTGAGGAGACCAGGGCTTCAGGTTATCTCCTATGTCCTCGTGCTCAAAATGACCTTGCTGTACCAGGTAGGGCTTCAGGGGCCAGCAGTAGGCAGAGAAGGAGCCCTGCTTCTATACTGGCCTCCTGAGTGTGACCTTGGGGCCATCAAAGGCAGAGAAAGGCACAGAACAAAGATATTTGAGACTGGGATGGGGCCTTGGAGTTTTCTGGCCTGCATGTATCCTGATCTCCCAGGAGGCTGAAAACTGGGTGCCCTGGAGATAGGCCAAACATAGGGTATTTAGCAACAGTGAGGGAGAAGAGCCTGATGCCCCCAATTCCTCTGTTCTCATTAAAGAAAATAACTGTTTATTTATTTATTTATTTATTTTGTACTGGGGATTGAACCCAGGGACACTTAACTACTGAGCCACATCCCCAGCACTTCTTGATTTTTATTTTGAGACAGGGTCTCACTAAGTTGTTTAGGGCCTCGATAAGTTGTTGAGACTGGCCTTGAACTTGTCTCAGCCTCTAGAGTTGCTGGGATTACAGTGTGCACCATCATGCCCACTTCATTGCTCAATTTTTATTGTGTATTTCTTCCTAATCTTCATCCTCCTCTTTTTTTCATAATGACTTGATATCATATGCATATAAATATAGAAAGGGATTAAAAATGTTCAACATCTCTTAGCAATTAGAGAAATGCAAGTTAAAACTATACTGATATTTTATCTTACTCCAGTCAGAATGATAACTATCAAGAATGCAAACAAACACAGTATATATGGACAATAGGATATGTGTTGCAATATGGTTTGTAGATTACTGAATATAATCTGTAAACACTGTGAAAGCCTCTGAAAATTAGAATAGAGTTAATAAATTATAAGACTCTCTGTTTATAAAAAAACTATGAGTACCAATAAACATTGGTGAGGATGTGGGGAAAGAGGTACATGCATACATTGCTGGTGGGACTGCAAATTGCTGCAACCACTCTGGAAGGCAGTACGGAGAGTCCTCAAAAAAACTAGGAATGGAACCACCATTTGACCCAGCTATTCCACTCCTCAGTATACATACAAAAGATTTTAAATCAGCATACTACAGTGACATTGCCACATCAATGTTTATAGCAGCAAAAATTCACAAGAACTAAGCTATGAAACCAACCTAGGTGCCATTCAACAGATAGATAAATAAATAAGGAAAATGTGGTATATACACACAATGGCGTATTACTCAGCCATTAAGAAGAATGACTTTATGGCATTTGCCATAAATGGATGGATCTGTAGTCTATCATGCTAAGTGAAATAAGCCAATCCCAAAAAACCAAACGTTAAATATTATCTCTGATAAGTGGATGCTAACACACAATGGGAGTTGGGGAGAGAATAGAAATTTAGTGGAGTAAAGGGAAGGGAGGGGGAGGATAGGAAAAGGAAAAAGACTGTGGAATGAATCTGACATAATCTCCCTATGTACAGATATAAATACACCACGTGAATCCTACCATCATGTGCATCCACAAGACTGGGGTCCTAATTAGAATAAAGATATATTTCATGCTTGTATAAATATATCAAAAAGGATCCTACTGTCATGTATAACTAAAAAGTTTCAATAAAAATGCTTTTCTTGATGAATTATTGAAATTCCATATTTCTACATGAACATCACCAAAAAGAAATTCAGTATACTTCTCTGTTTCTTTGTGCTATCTACAGGCAATTTATCTTTAGATTAGTTTTACCTGTGTCACACTTTATACACCTGACATCACCTGGAAGTTAGTCTTTTATTCTTTTTTTATTTGTTCTTTTTAGATATGTATGGCAATAGAATGTATTTTGACATATTATACATATGGAGTATAACTTATTCTAATTAATATCCCATTCTTTTAAAAATCCTATTCATTTCTCTTTGTTTGATCCAATGAACATCTATTATTTTCTCCCTAAGGTACTCTTTTAAGTGAGATGACTTTCATTTAGCACAAAACTTTTCAGATTTATCAATATTAATCTGTATTAGTGTGTTCATTTTTATTGCTAGATATTATTTGATTAGATGAATACTAATTCTTTATCCAGTTATTTGGGTTATTTTCCATTTTATTTTGTCAAAATAAAGCTGCTATCAACATTCATGCACACACATTTTGTAGACAGTGTTTCCATCTTTCATCTGTGAGTACCTCAGAGTGGAACTGCAGAAGCGATGGTGGATATGTGTTCAACTTTCTTGGAAGCCGTCAAACCATTTCCCACAGTGGTTCTGCTGTTCCACACCTTCCCACCAGCAGGAAGGAAGAGTTGCTGCTGCTGTGTCCCTGCTGTAATTCATTGCTCTCAGTGTTTCTTACTCAAGCCATTCTCTAGGTGGTCTCATTTCAGTTCCCTCATGACTTATGATGTTGGCCATCTTTTCATGTGATTCAGAGCCATTAATAAGTCTTTTGCAAAGCTTCTGTTTCATAATTTTGCCACAAGTTTATTCTCTCTCATTGTCACTTGGTTCCATTGTTTGAATTAAAAGACATGTCATTGAAATCCCTATTGAAGTGCTAGTATTTGAATATTGAATATCCCTGAAGGTTCATGTGTTAAAGTCTTGGCCCCGGGATGGTGGTATTGAGAGGTGCTGTGGACCTTTAGGTGGTGGGCCTATGGGAGGCCCACAGGTCATTGGAGGTATGTGCTCCATGGAATTCTGATTCCATAGTCTTCCTCTTTTGGATCATGAGGTGAATGGTCTGTTCTGCCACATGCACCAACCCTGATATGCCACCCTTACCAGAGCCCCAAAGCCTGCAGTCACCTGATTATGGATTTAAACCTCCAGGAACATGAGCTAAGATAAATCCTCTTTATTGGTTGGTTGTCCTGGGATTTCATTATGGTAATGAAAATCTAACAGAGAACAGATGTTTACATTCTGTCAATTTTGCATCACAAATTTCCTTATGCCATTAGTCCTCCCTACCCCACTCTCCCTGCAAGACTTGGGATGAAAATGATATGGACTTGAAAGAGATGGAAATAATCTGTCCCGCAGCCATGGCTAATTTAGGGGATTACACATGTGAAGGATTTGAACCATATATCTGCAAGGGACGAACTTTTGGAAAGACAAAAATCCACCTAAAGTCACACATAGGAGAAGGTGTATTTCCACAGTTAGTAAGAACATAAGCCTTAGGTCAAGGGACATTGGGCAAGTGAGGCATTTGTGTGCATGTTAGAATTGGTACTGTATTATACACAGAAAGCTTATCCCCATCTCTTCCCTTCCACTCCAATTACAGAAAAATAAGAAGGATAAAAAAGGAAAAGGTGATAAGTCTGATGATGAAAGCAAATCAAAAGATAAAAAAACGGTAAGGCACAGGCACCTCCACTCCAACCAGAGGTAGGTGGTAAAGATGACAAGGGTGGGGATGACCTCTGACCTGCCACACCTATGCCCACATCACCCAGAGGGAGGGAATGGGTACCAGAGAAAGCTTATCCCCATCTCTTCCCTTCAACTCCAATTGCAGAAAAACAAAAAGAATAAAAAAGGCAAAGGTGATGAGGATGGTGATGAAAGCAAATCGGAAGACCCAATACCGGTAAGGCACAGGCACCTCCACTCCAACCAGGGAGGTGGTGAGGGTGACAGGGGTGGGGATGACCTCTGACCTGCCACACCTCTGCCCATGTCACCCAGAGGGAGGGAATGGGTACCATACAGAAAGCTTATCCCCATCTCTTCCCTTGCACTCCAATTACAGAAAGACAAGGAGGATAAAGAAGACAAAGGTAATGAGGATGGAGTCGAAAGCCAACCAGAAGACATAAAAGAGGTAAGGCACAGTCACCTCCACTTCCACCAGAGAGCCTGGGGAGGATGACGGGGTGGGGATGACCTCTGACCTGCCACACCTCTGCCCACGTCACCCAGAGGAGGGAGGGAATTGGAACCATATTGAGCACAGAAAGCTTATCCCCATCTCTTCCCTTCCACTGCAATTACAGAAAGACATGAAGGATAAAGAAGACAAAGGTGATAAGTCTGATGATGAAAGCCAATCGGAAGACATAAAAGCGGTAAGGCACAGGCACCTCCACTCCAACCAGAGAGGTGGTGAGGATGACAGAGGTGGGGATGACCTCTGATCTGCCACACCTTGCTCATGTCCCCCAGAGGGAGGGAATGGGTACCATATTGGACTTAGAAAGCTTATCCCCATCTCTTACCTTCAAATCCAATTTCAGAAAAAGAAGAAAGGCAAAAGTGATGAGGATGGTAATGAAAGCCAAGCAGAAGATAAAAAACAGGTAAGGCACAGGCACCTCCACTCCAACCAGAGGTAGGTGGTGAAGATGACAGAGGTGGGGATGACCTCTGACCTGCCACACCTCTGCCCATATCACCCAGAGGGAAGGGAATGGGTACCATATC